CTAAAGGATGATCTACCTGGTGAGTGAGCTCTAAGCTTACCTCTTTAACTTAGGATGGGATTTGTCCATCTAAACAACTTTTTCGAAGACGGAAACCTTCTATTTAAGCCAGTTAGGGAACTTTCTAATTAGTCAAGATGCTAAGTTAGGACAAACAATTAAAAAATAAATGTCACACTAGCGCTGCCTGGCGAGAGAATTATGTGCTAAACTCTTTACCATTAAATAAATCTTGTTCATCTGAACAACATTGCCAAAAACAGGAACCTTCCATCTAGTCAAGATGTTAAGTTAGGGCAAACAATGGAAATTTAATGTCACACTTGTGCCACCTGGTAAGTGAAATCTGAACTAAACTGTTTACCATAAAACAAGTCTTGTCCATCTGAACAACTTAATCCAACAGCCTTCTATCAAGTCAAGATGTTAAGTTAATTTTAAGTTAAATTTGGAAAATAACGTCACACTCGCCGCCTGGTAAGTGAATTCTGAACTAAACTTTCGTATTTAAGATAGGTCCTGTTGATCTAAAAAACTTTGCCCAAAAGGGGAACCATCCATATGAGCAGTATCTGTAGATAGCGTTATATAATGTGTATATAAGACCGCGACCGCGACTTCTTTGCATTCATTCCGGAAGTCTCTAACAACATATCTGTCAATAAAATATGTCAACATGAAGTCCTCAATACACAAAAAAATTTGGACGCATCTAAAGGACCAGGACCTGACGAAATTGCACCTGTATTCTTGAAGAATATTTCAGAACAACTCAGCTTTCCTTTAGAACGCCTTTTCAATATTCTCTGAAATTTGGAAATCGTCTCATTTGGTGCCTATTTTCAAATCAGGCAAGAAATATGACATCTGTAATTATAGTGGGGTTGCCATTATCTCTAGCATCCCAAAACTTTTTGAATCAATAGTAAACGACAAAAAATTTCAGCAAGTAAAACAATCAAATTACAAACAAACAGCACGGCTTTTTTAAAGGTCGTTCAGCTACCTCTAATATTTTTAAATTTGTTACCTTCATTCTTAACGCAATGTACAATGGCAAGTACGTGGAAGCGCTTGATACTGACGTCAGTGAAGCATTTGACCGAATAGACGTACCGTTATTACTCTTTACATTGCAAAAAATAGGAATGGAATCTAAACTTCTGAATAGGCTCCAATCATACTTAACGCAACGCAAACAAATACCTAGTTCGTTTTCAGAATAAACTTTCAGAACCTATTTAGGTCACCTCTGGGGTGCCCCACGGTTCTCATTCCAATTATCAGGCCCAATTCTTTTTATTTTGTACGTTAACGACATTTCCTACATACTTAAAAAAAATAAAAGTTCTTATATATGCAGACGACATGAAGCTCTTCATGGAAATAAGTATTTCTAACGACACAGAAGAATTTCAGAATGAAATCAACTTATTCAACACTTGGTGTAGTAAATGTCTACTCCAACTCAATGTAAAAAAAAATGCAACGCAATTGTATTTAGCAGAAAAATAGAAACACCTCTTTTTGACATATGTTTAGGCAACCAAAAATTAGACAAATGTAAAATTGTAAGGGACCTAGGTGTGATCCTAGACTCCAAACTCACTTTTGTAGAACATTATAATACAATCATAACGAAAGCAAATAGTATGTCGGGCATCATAATTCAGCTTCAGCTATAATTTTCAAGACCCATACACTATTAAATTATTATATATTACATACGTAAGACCTATTCTGGAATACTGTAACCTATAGGTATATATACTATAGTATGGAATCCGTACATTGCCATACACGAGGAACGCATAGAATCCTTCCAAAAACAATTCCATTTATATGCCCTTCGCAAATTGAATTGGACCGTATTTCCTCTTCCATCATATGAAGCACGTTGCATGCTCATCAAAGAACGCCGCAAACTCGCAATGCTTTTCTTGATCAATGACATAATTTCACATCGCATAGAATCATCAGAAATACTTTCGCAATTAAACTTCTACACACCCTGTTGGCATCTTAGAACACGAAAATTATTCTCAGAAAAGTCACACAGAACAAATTACGCAAAAATTTGTCCCTTCAATCGAATTATGCGATAGTATAATCTACACTGTGAATTCATTAGCATCACTATGCCAAAAGAAGAAATTAAAACCCAACTAAAACATAATAGATATAATGCATACTTACATAGAAATACCAACAATCAATACGAAACTATCGATTTTAAATTGGCTCACTACTTGACTAGCCTATTGGTCCCAAGCAAACGATTAACGTACCCCATTCTAGTTGAAATTCTACTACTACACAATGTTTGTTTTGATTTGCTATGAAAGTTTGACAGATAAAATGAGGGGTTAGTGGATTTTCCCATGTTTCGAGGGGTGAATCGATTAGCTTGGGACCGAAGATAGTACCAGAGCTGAGCCAAAAAGTTGAGCTCGTTTCTTCGGGACCTTCTGGTCTTAGAGTTACCTCTATGGAAATACCTAATCTTACTCGTAACGGAATTCATCTTTGATATAAAAGATGAGACGTAAACAAACATGTAATGTAAAATTAAGTAATCCTAGACTGAAAAGTTTGAAATTACGTTTGATTGAAATGAACTTTGCGTCTATTATGACTCAATTTTATGTCAAAATTGACGCTCGTATATGTCAGTCTCAGAGCACCTAAATTTACATTATTTTTTTTTAAGTGTGTAGTATGTAAGTAAAACACCCCAAGGTACAGACAAAGGGCTAAACGCACGGCCAAGACTCAATAAGTTCTGAAACTGAAACGTACGTGCCAGGTGTGATGACTTTTCTCGATGAATATGGCTACTTATTAATGGAAACAGGTAGAGATTTGAATTTAACAAAGCAAAGTTCAGATATGTACTATATCTGAAATATACTGAAAACAAATATTCATGCGAGGGCTCCATCTTAATGACCATTTTCTTTGATGACAGCTTATTGGTGAACTTATTAATCTATAAGGTAAACTGTTAAAATTATGGTAAACATTTCATCTAAAAATAAGTCGTTCTTTAAACTACTCATACAGATTAGATTGAAATCTTCCGTTTTTCTTGGGACTAATGGAAACTGTAGATACTATAGATTCCATAGATAAGCGGAGGCACAAAAAGTTGTTTTGACAACCATGAAAAATAAATGATCTTACTGGCATCCGTGAAAAAAGTTCATGCCATCATAGAGCTCTTCGTTGTGCAGTTTTGTTTTGTTTCGTGCGTAAAAGTTCATAATGAAGTGCAAAGCAAATCTTTGCAACAATGTATCGAGAAATGGGTTGCTTTACCTTTCCTTCTTCCGATGTCCGCGAAATAAATAGGAATGTGAATTGTGGAAAGCGTTTTGTGCTCATAATAATATAATACTTCTCCCTCAAACAACACGATGATGACGTCATGCTCGTTTGGCTTAACTAACTGACAGTTCGTTTGGCTACATTATACTTTTCCTCCGCTTATCTATGGAATCTATAGTATCTATAATGGAAACCATGCTCACAAATAGCATTGAAAGGGTTCCATGACATTTTTTAAACACCACTCAATGTGTCCATATTTGCTTTTTCTATGCTAAAATCAATCTTTCTGAAAATAAACCTTATGCACCGAAAACGCAATAAATTACTATCGTCAGCGTGAACATGACGTTATAAATATATCAATATCAGCTTTAAAATATTTTCTCTAGCTGCAGAACTCTGCATGTTTATATCCACATCTCATCTATGTACACTCAGGTCTTTTTTTACACGGGGGATACGGTCCGTGTAAAAAAAAAACCGTGTAAAAAAAACCTACGAGATTTTGATTTTTCGCATGCTTAAATGTTTTTAAAAAATCGGATTTTGATGCCATTTGTAATTAAAGCATGATATGGTCCATAAAGACATATTTTAAAAATTTCTGTATTTACACCAAAAATTGTGATTTTTTTTTAAAGTATGCCATTCGATTACAAATAGCTTGAAACGGATAATGTGATTGGAATCAAGTCGATAGGTTGTATCGTTGTCGAGAAATCGTTAAAAACGTACCGTGTAAATCGTGGAAAACCGTGTAAAAAAACCGTGTAAAAAAAACCGCGTAAAAAAAACCGTGTAAAAAAAGAGTATGTTGTATGTGTATGTTGAAATAAAATTAGTCGACAGAAGTTTGATCTGGTCGCAGATTGAAGCGAAATCAAACAGAAGAAATTGGTTCCTGTATGCTTTAAATATTCAGTACAGCTATGATACTTAAGATGCTTCAGTGCGTCAGTGAAATGTCATTTACAACACACTTCAGCTTCCCAGTCATACAGTACAAATCAAAGCAATAATAACCTACTAAGACGTTAGAATACACGTCCGTTATTCTAAATAATAAATTGTAGTAGCTATCTTTGAAATATTTTTTAGACCACCAGTTCCACTTTAAAGCGAATTTAAAATGAAGAAAATCAATAATCACCTCCTTTAAGTATGTTATGTTAATCTCTTTTGCATTCCCCAAAGAGCTATTGTGTATTTCCAATCGTTAAAATTCACCAGACAATTCGAATTTTTACACTTATTGACATATACAGATAATAACATATGCAGATCATACCGCAAACCATTTTTTCCTAAAAATTTTAGTAACGTTTTAGGCATATTAATAAAAAAAATGTCTCGTAAAGCATAGGGGTTTGTCTATAAATATTACAAGAAAATTTAAAAAATAATAATTTCGAAACGATATCAATACCACTGACAGGAGTGAATCAATGCGTTCTCTCTGAAATTTGGATTCCCGCTAATGCTCGAGTGTGAGACATGATTTTTCTACCAAATAAAATTTAATTTGGGAATTGCGGCAGTTCCCAAGCCACAATTTCTAACCATGTTTACTTTCGAGCCAACAGCCCACTCACATGTTTACCATCGATAAAAGTGAGAGTAATCACATGTTCCACGTTTTTCTTCTCTATCGTTTCCTCCGCTTCGTTTAGGAGGCTGCCTCAGCTATGGCCACTCATGTTGGGGTGGGCACGGAAAACGATCGGGACCACCGTCTGGACGATCCATGACACGGTCCATCCCTGCACCACCCATGGCCCCCTCAGATCTATGGCCCGCTATTGAACGAATGAAACCACCCGGAGGCAAAGGGTAAAATACGCTGGAACGATTCAATTGGAACATATTAAAAATATGCTTTTGTGACTTCTTTCAGGCCACTCTATGCAGCTCCAAACAGTGTCTACTATCAACAACTCGGACGAATGTTTAAAGTTCCTCCAGTTTCCATTATGGACCTAGTGGGTCCAGATTCGTCATCGTCATCAAACGAGAATGATGATAAGTAAGTATAAAAGTTGAACACGAAAAAATCCGGACACATTAAAAACGCTGCCATTACGACATTTTTTGAGTATTATTTTTATTTCAAAATTTCACTGAATCAAGCTAAGAGTGTATAGAATCAAAGTAGGCCTTGGTTGTCAGGATAAGTTCATTTGTTAACATCATGGATTCACGGGAAAATTTACCAGGAAGAGTGCCTACGGAAGAGACTTCTGCCTTTTCTGGAGCAGCGTGGGGTAGATTGCCTATTCTGGCCGGACTTGGCAAGCTGCCACTACTCTAATTCCACCAAACAATGGTACAGCGAAAATGGCGTCGCAGTGGTTCCCAAGGAGATGAATCCGGCTAATACGCCGGAGCTAAGACCAATTGAGGAATACTGGTCAATTGTGAAGCACATACCGAAAAGCTATTGCTATTCTGGCAGCTTACTTTCACATGAAGCCCTGATAGTGTTAATATCATAATATTCTTTGCCAAATATGAATTCACGGACTTTAAGTTTGATCCCTTCCAGTAGGTTTTGCACAATCCTTTTGTATTGTTGAATTAAGTCATTTGACGCCATTATGCCATTTTGTTATGATTTTTTTCATACTATCAATTTATTCTGGATTGGGTTTCTTCCTGAGGTTTCTCTTGATGATTAAATATAAAATGGCCGAAATATAATTATTTTTGTAGGTTCTTATTTTTGGCTACATCTGCAACGTTGTTGGTTTCATACAATTTTCACGTAACTATATCGCAATGAAATGGCACGGGATCAGACCAATACAACTTATAATGATAATCATTGGAATGGGTACACAATCGAGCATAATAAATATTCAAAATCGGTTAAAAAAACTCGTTGTAAATATATTCAGAGGAAAATGATCAGCATCAAAACAACAGCAAAGAGGTATGGAAAATTTTGAAATCGTTACTATAACCTAGTAATTGCAAACCGCGGTCCATAACTGTTTATGTTACATTAGAATAAGGAAGAGTAAGTAATTGCGTCTAAATTTAATGGTTATTTTGTTGCCAGTGCTTCATTGATTTCTTAATGTATCGAATTGGTAGATGAACCTGAAGAAATAAAACAGCCAGGTAATACTAGTTGTAGATTTAGATTAGATTAGAATTAGATGAACTACGAGTTATTTGCTTTTCATTAAGAAAATCGGCTGGAGTAGATAATGTTAATGCAAGAGTTCAAGATTGCTTTCATGTCATTGGCCACATCTTGCTGGACCATATTTATGAATCATTGCCGACTGGACATGCGCCACACATTTGGAAGGAATCCAAAATTTAAAAAGTTGCTGGAGAAACAAATAAAACCATCGTCCCATCAACATGTTGCACACATTTCAGAAAATTTTAGAACTTGTTGTCAAAGGCCAGCTGTTGGAGAACTTGAATAGAAACACTTTGTTGATACCAGAACAATCAGGATATCGGGAAGGTCATTCTTGTGCAACTGCGTTGAATTTGGTGTTAGCAAATTAGTAAAGATACGACTGTTGCTAATTTTTTGGATCTGAAACGCACTTTATAAAACAATGTCTAGGACCTTATTGTTACGATCAATCAAGCGCTTTGGAATTATGAGTACTGCATATAAATGGTTTGAAAGATATTTATCTGACAGAACTCAACGGCCTGATACTATTTTTAGTCTTGTGGGAAATAACCTTGGAGTGCCCCAGGGAAGTGTATTAGGGCCCCTGTTATTTATTATCTAATCTAATCTAATCTAATGTCGTTTTCGTTTTTGCGGTGTAGCTACACCGGTTGTACACTGCCGTACACCGAAATATTTTAGGGTGTAGATATAGGATGCACCTTTGTTTACAAATAAATGATGTTGAGCTGTCAAAGACTCGCGCTTATTCCTGCTTACACTACACCAGTAATCTAATCTAATACAAACACAGCCAGTACGAGAAAGCATCCTGGAAAATGATTAGGTTAGATGAGGTCTAATCATTTTTCTTGTCTAATAAATGTTTACAGCATATCTGAGATATGATATAAACATCAAGACGGCCAGGCCTACTGCCTACTGCCTACTGTATTTGCCACAAAGATCATTCTTGGAAATAAATGCGAACATTTCTTGAATCTACAGGGGTGGAAGGATGCGTGGACATACCGTACCAAACGCTCCGAGTTGCTATGTGTAGTTGTGTGTAATGTGTAAATATTTGTACAATATTGAAGAATCATAAAATAATGCAATGGAAGAATCTTACCGAATTTTTTCCTTTGTTGGTAATGATTCTTTTGCGCTTAAAAGTTTCATTGGATGCATCCGCTCCTTGTTTATCATGGGGTTTGGGATGCAGTTCCTCGTCATCGCTCGTGGTTATGTTTAGTGATGTGATGTGGAACCGCAAGCAAGCAAATCACTTGTGACTAAACGCAAACGGACACGATTCAACAGCGTACATTAGAAAATTCAGCGAAGATCTGCTTTTTCGCAACGTTTCACGGCGGCGGCGAAGGAAGAAAAAACCCAGTTTGTTCACTCGCGGTAATCTTAAAAACTCTTTCGATCCTATTTTTTTTAAATAACCAAACACAGCACTAATAAACACACGTGAAATTATTAAAACAGTTTTCAGGTGTCCAAAATTCACCAGCTAAAGGACTTATTGCACTAAATTTTCAATAAACTTCTCGGAAAATAAAGCAGCAGCAAATTCAAAACACGTCAGTTTCAATGCACGGCCTACCTCGATTCTAGGGCCCTGTTATTTATTATGTATATTAACGACTTGCGATGTGTTTTATGATTTTGCGACACTATTTTTTTACACATGATACTGTGTTATTCATTTCAGCTAAGGATTTGGAAGTTGCCGTCCCACACTTGAATGAAGTTTTGTGATCTCTAAGTAGATGGTTGAAGTGTAAGCAGTAGAAATTGAATACAAGTAAAGCTAAATTCATGGTAATTTCACGAAATCGAGTGAATGAGAACGTCTGTGTTGTAATTCTTGATGAAACTTAAGATCGCGTTCGGGAGATTAAACATCTTGGCGTGATTATTGATGACAAACTTAAGTTCAACTCTCAAATTGACAATGTCATCAAGAAAATTTCCAAAAAGCATGTAATTGAAATACGATTTAACTATTGGTTCTTAAGGAAAGTAAGTAATTGTAGTTATAATTCAAGAGGGGGCTACATTAACCCTAGGGGGGCTGTAGCCCGCTAGACATCTACCCCCCCCCCCTTATTTAGGGAATGACCCTTCCTATGTTTCTCAACTGCCTTCAATTGAAAATTTCTGCTCAAATCCCAAGATCTACTCCAATTACTTTGTGATAAAAAAAATCTTTTAAAGATTTGTTTAATCCTTTCATTTTTTTCGGAAGCTTAATGGCGTTGGCTTTACGGAGCCGATTTATGCAAAAAAAATTAAATGTTATTAAACAAAAAGGGTCATAATGAGTTTATTTCTTCCTGAGAGGCGATAGTTTACTGTTGCTTTCTCCCGCGCCCATAGCTTGCTTCTTTCTTCCTTCTTCTTCTCTTCAGTAATATGTTGTTGTTCTTGGTTGAACAACTCTTTTGCCATCATGCAGGTCAGGGCTTGCTTGTTCTTCTTCTACGTTTTCTTCAATCTCCGGGATCATCTCGTCGATTGCCATTACTTCTTCGTTGAGCACCTCAATCGTGTCCGTTGTGGCACCTCCGGCCACCACACCTGTAGTTTTCAAACAGCTATCACTTAGATCCTCGTCCTAGTCGTGCGTCTCTTCGTCCTTTCGATCTTCGGCCAATTGTTGCTTCTCATTCTGCTTCCAAGATTTCCGTTTGGGACAGGAATTCATCCGGTGCCCCTCCGTCTTGCATCTCCGATTCCGATTGACAAAATGCTGCGATGTCTTCTTCTTCTTCTCCTTCGAATTTCAAGCTTACTGCTTCTCGTATTATTAGCTTATTGCGTGTCCTGAACTTTTTTTTTATTGGGAAGGGGAGTAAAACCACTGCGTCCATTATTTGAACTTTTTTGGTACCCCTATTAGCTGTTTGTATCATGCAAACCGACCACTATTTAACGAGTGGACGGCTAATTTCCGGGAAACATCTTTTCCCAGTCCAGTATAATATGGTTTATAAAACCAACTACCTTTCCATGATTTGCAGACCAAATTTCACTAGGTTGTAAGCTAATACTTCCAAGAAATTTAGATCTACGCTTGTGTAAAGCGCCCCAACTGCACCCTCATAAAATTCGACACGATTATCGATGTAAAATTCAACATGATTTTCATGTGTCCACACAAAAACAGAATCCACTCAGAAGTACACATGAAATTTATGAGTCAAATGAATAGTATGTGTGGCTACACATGAACTTTATGTGTACACATAAGAACGATGTGTCCAACACTTATATATCATTTATTTATCACATTGCAAAAATTCATGTGTGGGACACATAAAAATAATCATTGAATTTTTATTAGTGCAGAGCAGATGTTCCGAGGTTTCACGTTCCAAATTACAGAAACGATAGATATCCCTCTGAACCCGACCAATGTTCTTCATATCATATCTACTAGGACAGTGCCCAGTTACTAGGCCAGTATATATATACTAATAGCTCTTTTATTGAGCTCTAAGAGCTTTTTGGTGTATGTTATATTAGGAGTTATAAATCTTTTCGACTGGTTGCAGTTTGTGACAGTCATCCAATTGGCCATCACCCTTTGCTCTTTCCTGCATTTGAGTTCCATTTTTATCATACAGTTTGATATTCCACAGTATGGTTCTGGACCAAAAAACTGTGAATTGGAACCTAACTTTGCTAGGTCGTCTGCCCTTTCATTCCATTCAATGCCAAGGTGTCCTGATACCCAATATAAGTTTACTGAGTTCCTTTGGCACAGTTGCCGAAGCGAGAGAATACATTCCCAAACGATCTTTGATGTTCATTTGTAAGCACTCAGTGCTTTCAGCGCTGCTTGACTGTCAGAAAAAAAAAATACAAATATT